CACCTCCAGAACTGAGATACGTATGTGGGCTCCTGGCCTAGTTAGAGGCACCTGAAGTACCATTATCATTGATCTGTAAGACTGTATCAACCTTTTGGAATTCTCCCACTTGTCCCCTAAGGTTCAAAAGATATACCTCACAACAAAGTACAGAATTATGTGGGGGAATTAAAGGTACAAGCACCAAGACCAGTGGATGGTTCAACAGCTAGAAAACCCTGCACTAAAAATAAAAGTGTGATCGGAGCTGGTGATGTAGGTGAGTAATAGAATAATTTTTCCAGTATGCTTGAAGCCCTGGGTTCAATTCCCAGTAACAGACAGACAGACAAACACACACGCACACATGAGAGAGAGAGAGGGAGAGGGAGAGGGAGAGGGAGAGGGAGGGAGAAAATATTATATTAAGGCTGGAAGAAAGCTCCGTGGGTAAAAATGCTACTTCTACACACCTCCTTGTGGCACCACACATACACACACACGCACACACACACACACACACACACAAATAAATTTAAAATGTGTATATTGTAGAGTGAAAAGGGCCAAGAAAAAAACACCCTGACCCTTACTTGGGAACAGGGATTGAAATCCTGCTAATTCCTGAGGTCTCTGAGCACAAAACTCCACCAATCACAAGCTACCCTAGAAATCTCCACCTCCCAAGGAATCCTATATAAGCTCTGTACCCTGTTCCATACGCTGGCACCTGACCCGAGAGACAGTCACCCTCCTGGATTCTTCCTTCCCAATAAATCTCTTGAGTGAGGTTTGTTGTGCATGACATTTTCACCTGAGTGAAGCTCGGTTGCAACAACTTTCGCTGGAGCAGAGAGCAGAGCTGTAACACTTCCTCTAGTGAGAAGAGTTGTCTCCAGGGGACCTCAGCAGAGCTGTAACACTTTCCATTAAGCAGAGCAGGACAGTAACACTTCACCTGACCTGAGCAGAGCTGTAACAACTTCACTCAGGAAGCCCTCCCCTTCCGGGGCAGAGCTGTGACATTGGGGGAACCTTTCCCTGGAGCAGGGCTGTGAGCTGCTATGCTTATAGAGACTTTGTGGTATTCCTTGGCTCCTGAGTGCCAGGATGCTTTTCTATCCAAGCTGCAATGCTTACATATATAAATACACATATACTAATTTTCATTAAAATTAAAGCAACAGAAAAGTTGTAAGAACAACAATTAACTACCCTTTGCCTGGATTAAGTTTAACATTTGACACCTTTGTCATTCTCTATCTTTGCTTAACTATTTGAGAATAAGCGGCCTACTGCTTTAGAATAATTCTTTTGTACACTGCGAAGATGTATTGCTCCAGTTGGTTTATTAAAGATCCAACTGGCCAATAGCTAGGCAGGAAGAGGTCAGGTGGGAAAGTCAGACTGAGAGAACGCTGGGAAGAAGAAGGGGGTGCCAGTCAAACACAGAGGATGTGCAGATGTGTAGAAGATGAGGTCACAGCCATGAGCCAAGTAGCCCCACTAAATTAGTAAATATGCATCAATTTAAGTTGTAAGAGCTAGTTAGTGTTGGTCATAAATATCACCTCAGCTCCTTGTCACACCCCTATATCCAAAGAGTCTGGAATGTAATATTAAGTTGGAGGTGTCACCCAAGCCCTCTAACACCCCTATATCCAAGAAGTCTGGAGGAGTGGAGTACCCTGGGAGTATCTCCCAGCCGGCCAAGCACTGACCCCTCCCCTGGGGAGGGTCAGGACTACTCCCACAGGCTATTTAGGCTCACGCTGGAAAAAGAACACATTGTTTGGGTTTGCGTGGGTTTTTCTCCCCGCCATGCTGTCTCGGTCCCCTGAGAGTGATGCATTGATTAAACACAGGCATTTTAATTTGGTCTAATCTGGTTTGATTGGAGTTTCTCGTGTCGGTGGAGAGGCTTTTATTAAGATTAAACCAAACAGTAACAAGCCTAAGCTATCAGCTGAGAATTTATAATTAGTAATAAGTCTCTGTGTGGTTATTTGGGAGCTGTTGGCAGGACAGAAAAGTCTGTCGACAGCATACATCACAAACTTTTATCCATAAATACTTCAGTGTGTATTTCTTAATGAGGATACTTTCTTTCATAACACAGTATAATGATTAGAGTCAAGAAACTTAGCATTGAGGTCGAGAGAAATGGCTCAGTACTTAAAACAGAGTACTGTTCTTGCACAGGCCCTGAGTTCAGTGCCCAGTACCCACAATCAGGTGTCCCAACAGCACCTGTAACTCCGGCTATAGCGGATCTAATGCCCTTTTCTGAACCCCGTGGGCATCTGCACTCACACATGCATATAAATAACCCCCCCACATACATACATATAACTAAAAGGAAAATAAATCTTTGTTTAAAAATCAATATTGAAACAATACTTTAATATACAACCCAATTCAGTTTTCAACAACTGCCCTGACAGAATCCTTGGTAACTTGCTTTCCTAGGACCTCAAGCTGCCTCAGTGGTACCTCTCCGAAGACTTAAATCTAGAACCCTTCCTCAGCCTTCGTTTCATTACAATGGCATCTTTAAATGTACAGGTTAGGGGTCATTTCCTCAGTTTATGTTTTTCTGACTTGTTTCTTTGTGACAGATTCAGAATACACATTTTTGCAGAGGTATCACCTAAGAGATGTGTCCTGGGTACCTCACCTGGGGGGGGGGGCTCTTTGTGTCACTTAATTCCAATTGGGAACTTGGGTCATTTTCTCAGGAGAGTGTCTGTCAGATTTCTCCACTGTAAAGGTACCTTTCTTAATCCTTTCTAATGATTTTTAAAAATCCAAAGAAACTCTGAGACTTTAAATACCCTATTCTTTAGCCGAATTTCACCCAATGACTTTAATGTCTATTGATAATTCTTCTCTGAACCAATTACTACTAACAGTCATAAAATGGTGATTTCATAATTTCTACATTCATCCTCTTCTCACTTATCCTGTCTTTATATTTACCTAAAAGTTAAGCCCGAGAACATAGCTCAGTGGTACAATATTTGCTTAGCATATGTAAGGGTCTGTGTTTCAGTTTCCTGAACAAAAAGAAAGAAGGAAAAAGAAAGGAAGGGAGGGCAGGAGGGAGGGAGGAAGGGAGGGGAAGACAGGGGAGGAGAAGAGGGGGAGGGGAGGGGAGGGAAGGGGAGAGGG